AAAAGGTTGAGAATACGACTTATTATTTTTTATAGCTTATAATGTAATAATAAAGTTACAAGCTTAATATCTAATAAAAGAACCGCGCGCAAGATGCCCCAAGCGATAAGTACACCTCCACGCGTTTTCTATGTATGTTACAGGAAATCTCTTTATTTCGCTATTCTAAATAACACCTAGGTAATATTTAGTAAGCCATATTTATATCCACAATAAATAATTTTGCTACGGTTTTGCTGTAGCTTACAATCGCTACGAATTATTCGTTATGTTATTAATACATAATTTAATACTTATCAACTGCTAGGTAGTCAGATGTACATCTACATCTACCATGCGGCCCAAATACGTCTAAGTGGATGAAAGATATTGTTACATGTAAATAAACAATTTTAGAGGTTTAAAACGCGAATAAAGTTAATTTATTGTAAGTAATTTGACCAATATGTTTTGCGTTTTACACCGTTAAAAGTGTTTATATTTAAATCGTGTTCTACTTGCGTATACACACCGTACTTAGATATTGTAGTAGTTTAACTTTCATGACATTCTGATTTCCTTGCCATACTTCCCTTACCGAAAAACAATGATAAAACAAACAAAAGGGTAAATAAAGTATAGTTGCACGACTACGGTTCGAACTCACTAATGGATTTCTGAATACAACAAAGAACATACAACACTTTAACATATGTACGTAATAATATTTTCGAAATTTCATACATTGCCCAGGCAATGTCCAGAATACCTGAATTGTTGATATCGCCGGTAACATAATACACTTTTTGCTCTGTTACATTTTAAGAGCGCTTATTAATAATGCTTGTGACCGTGTAGATGTTTCGCGTATTAATTAGCGAGTACTGGATTGTATCAAAGAGTACGTTTTATTAAAGAAATAATACATTTTCTTTGATCTCTGTCAATGTTCTTTGGCTTGGAAAGAAAAACTGTTTCAGACAAATAGATTAATTTTTGCTTTCTTATTTTAAGAATTTTATTAATTGGCGTTTTTGTTAAGGAGGTTTAATATTACTGAATTTTGTTAAAAAAATTACTCGGGGTGATCTTATGCGCAGGCATACGTGCCCTACCCCACCAAATTTATAAAGTTTTCTGTTATTCGAACCCAGGTTTATCCCCTTAACAATTATAAGAAGTCAAATAGATCTAAGAACTATTAAAGCCATAAAAAAATCAACAAAAAACAAATATATCAACACCAATAATAGGTATGTAAGTCTGAAGCCATTTTAATCTACACGTCTGCACATTCAAAACAATCCCACCCGTAAAAAAGTTAATACGCGTAAAACAATCTAAGTCTTCTTAAACTTTCGAGCCGAGATAAACTCCACCAAATCGTATTAAGAGAATTTCTGAAGCTTCAATAAAACACTCGTCATAAAAAGAAAAACAGATGCTCATTTTAGGTTTATAAAAATGATTCAGAAACATCGTTTAAAATACGTTCCGAGAATAACAATGGGATGAATAAACGAAATTCTGGGAAAGGGGAATTAATTGCTACACTTGACACAGACGTCGTTTGCGAGGAGCGTTTCAGCGGCTGCACTGAATCCTGAAAGATCATTCTAACAAAGAACACGATGGTTTATTAAAAATGTACTTTACCATTCGGTTATTCAGATGTAGCCTTAGAAATAAATATCTAAGTGTGTAGAGTCTTATAAACATTCAAACATTCTTAAAACTAAGTACTTAGCCTAAGAAACAAGATCGATCTAGAAGCCCATAGATTCAATGAATTGGTTATTCAAAATAGGATTTTATTCTGTCGTTTTAATTTAGGTTGATAAATCCAAGTTAAATTATTTAAATAGAGAAATTCGTGAAAATATTATACGATTTATAAGTTTACGTATGAATGAAAGATCGAATTATATTACTAAAAGTGATAGATTTCAATGGGGCGTTGGACGCAGTTACATAGAATTTTTTATCGTTCTATTTGTATTGACAAATCTGACGAGCCGCATTTCAAATTGTATTCGGCTTTTGTGACTACGTGTAACTGATCGATTTATTGCAATTCAAAATTATTGAAAGGTATTAAAAAATAAATCGAAGGATGGATATAATAAATGGATTTGATTACGATGTACGGCTACAATATTTAAATAGTTCTTTAGGTAACCATAATTTGTTTCAATGTAATGCACTTAATGGAAACACCTGATGTGCACAAGTTGCGCTGTCGGCCTATTTCGGCGTTGGATATTCAGAAACCGACAGACTGAAACCAAAACATTATTCTTACTACACTTCATGACTTTTTCATTTATAGAAATGTCACGGAATTACTTCTTATTATCACAATCCATTTATCCAGATTTTTTAGCAGTTTCAGAAGATTTAATGTTGGATTTTAGTTGAAGCCGGTTAAAATCGAACCGTTGACTATTAGCAAATTAGATTAGAATTAGTGGGAGCGCGAGTGGGAGTTAGATTAGAAGTGATGTGAGATAAAAGTGTTGCAGCAAAGTAAAAAAAATAAAACAACGATTGGCTGCGATAAATGCGCAATTACATAAATTAATAAAGCCTAAAAAATTTAAAAATTCTACCTCAAGTCACTATTCCACGCGAACGAAGTCGCGGGCACAGCTAGTATATTATATAAGTAAAACACAAGTCAAACACTGTCAAACAATTCACTTTCCCAAGAGTTGGAACAAACGTCGAGCTGACCTCAATAGCGTTTATAAATGTACACGCATTATCGGTTTCAAGTTTCTGTGCGATGTTATTATCTTGTTAGGCGACACCAGTAAAGCCTTACACCATCTTGACTCAATGAAGGCATTAGCCTGTAATCGATTCTTGCTTCATAACGTCTTTATGTTTAATAGTTTTTCTACTTGCGTCACTCGGCTGTTAGACAAATAGGGTTTTTTTTCTAATATAGTCGCTAGAGGCAGAGTAGCCTAACTGCGACGTTTATGAATTGAGTTATGTATAAAGATGTTAATCTACTAGAAAACAGTGACCGAAAATTGTTATAATAATTTTTAAACGATATTATTCGTGTAAAAATCAAGTTAAATTAATTTTTGCCTAAGGTAATAAAATATCGCATTTTTATTTTCCTCCTTATAGATAACCATAGTTTTTATTATAAAGCCACTCTGCCTCTAGCAGCCTCATATTAAGTTTTGCCTTTAGTTCACGTAGTGCATATTTGAATAGTTTTAACAGTTTAACACTTAATAGATTAGTTTATTTATTTTAACTAATATATTTCGCGTTTTAAACCGTAAAAATGTTTTATTTAAAGTAAATTTGAATTCTAGTTTTGTTCTAGTAAGTAAGGCATTCAACGCGTTACGCTAAGATTTCTTAAAGAAATTGATCCAATTAGATATGTTTGTGTACGAACTACTACACGACACTAATTTTACATTTACTTTAACATACAAGAAACATACGTGCTAATAATTATTTTGTTTTATAAATTGTAGTATTATACGACATAAGTAGCATTTCTTGTTACATGAATTATTGTAAATGGTTAAGTAAAATCAATGATAAGTAATATATTATGAATATATATTTATTGTCTTAATGTAATGTAAATATTAGTTAACTATATGCCTTTTAATATAAGCTAAACCTCTATCGCATTGGATTAATTCTGTTATGACAGTTGATATTTGTTATAAAATAAATAATTGAGACGAATGAGACTCGAACTCACAAACAAAGCATGTCGTGCCGTCGTTTTTCCAAATGAATAGTTAATAAATAATTATTCTATAAATATAATAAGTATTGAAACTTATTATGTATTGTACATTGAATTAAGTAATTTTTATTATCAGTTTTTATCAATTAATGAAACGTGCTTTATAATAGCTTATTATTGAGTTCAAAGGTCCCAGTGCAATAACATAACGATAAAAACCTGTCATAAATTTCAATCTATACCAATATATAAAGCTGAACAGTTTTATTGTATGTTTGAACGCGCTAATCTCAAAAACTACTAGTTTCTCTTGCGTACGCTGCTAAAACGGTTCGAAATACCAAAAATATATGTATAAAAGAATGGTTACTTTTTAAATTAATTAAAAAATGTCCACGACAGCCTATCTTTTAAGACTCGCAAGAACGATGAGGACGCAACGGACGTCGTGGGTAACAGCAATAATGGAGCTACAGCTTTGTACTGTAATAAATTGTTCGTCTATTTCAACTTTAACGTTCGCTATTTATCTTACCTACTCAAATTAATTTTTACATTTCACACAAACTTTTTATTACTTTACACATATTAATTGAGGAAGCAAGAAATAGATCTGAATCCAACCACATTACGAATAACAGTTAAACCTACCAGACCGTAGAAAATCCGGCATTTTAGGAAAACGAATGATTTGATATATGTAATTAATTCGCGGCACGGCTATCAAATAATTTATATTCTCTTCGTGGTTTTCGTATTTAATTTTAATTATGGTCTGCTTGCATATATTTTATACTGAACAATAATTATTATAGTGAGATCTATATTTATAGAATATTATATTGAACGAAGATACTGTCTGTAGTTTACGCCAGTATTACACATCTAAATAAAACACTAACGGTTTAAAACGCAAACTATGGTAAAAATAACATTGTGTATAATGGTGCTAAAACATATTATAATCACTTACCCAGAACTATTAAACAAATTAAATCATACAAATTATTTAAAACATTATATTCTTAGCACTATTATAAAAAAGTCGAAACGTCGGGCCGTAGTTAAAATAATTTGCAAAAAATGTGAACTATGATATATCGCGTTTTGAACCGTTAAAGTGTTTTATTTAATTTGAACAATGATATTAAATAAATTCAAAACATAGTACGTGATGTTTATTACAATTAATTTTACTTGTCTTAAGCTAGATATGTACTATATAGAGTACTTTGTTGCGGAAAAGCTTTTCAAAAATGGTCAACAAAAGGACAACTCATAATGAAGTAAGCGCCTAAAGCCAAAAGGGTGGGTGTTCACGATACAATTGAATAGGCTCATTTATATCACCTAGACCAGGAGATAAGGAACATGAAAGGGCAGGCGATGATGCTAATACAGTGAACTTAACCTGGCCGGCGGCACCTTGCGCGCCATCGTCCCGCCAAACTGGTTCTGCCGACCTTCGCGTCGTCTCGCCTGACGCCTCTACATACATGTCGCCTTAGTACAACCGATCGTTATACCCGATTGATTTTAATAATCGATGATTGATTCTCTAAATTAATGGGAATTTTAATGTCTTCAAAATGTTTGTGGGTGTGTTTGTATACTCCTTCAAAACGGCTATATCGACTTTAATGGAATTGTGTGTATGTAGCGTAACACTCAGAATTGAATGTCATTTTTCCATATTTTATTTATTTTAATGATAAAATAATACAGTTTTATGTAAGCCATAAAAATTACACCCAGGTGGTACTGTCGATTATGACCTATTATTTAATTGGACTTACCTTAGTTAAGACAGTTCCAAGAATAACCAGTACAGTTCGTCGTGTATTATTTGGAACTAATATTTTAAATTAATATTAAATATATTAATTTTTAATATATTATGGATCAAAAGATATCAAGGGTCTGTAAAGTTAGTATTATTTAAATAAAACACTTTAATGGTTTAAAACGCGATATATATAGGTTAAATTTGTTTGAAAATTATTTTTACTCCTCCCCGTGACCACGGCTGCCGCAAAGCATCCGAAATGTCGGGCCCTTAATCAAAATTTTTTTAAACAAGTTTAACTTAAATACTGTCTATAGTTTACGCGAGTAGTACACATTTAAATAACTTATATATATCTCGATTTAAACCGTTTTATTTAAATGTGTACTATATTTTTAGCAGCATCAAAGCGCCTTCTACATAGAGCGATGACAAAACGAAATTCACAAAATAAACATGGAACTTTCTTTTATCAAACATGACGCGGAGACAAAGCCAAAAACCTAACAATGAATGTATTCTCTGTGATGTTTTTCTTCGTATTGTATTCATAATCTATTTACAACTTTCGCTCGCGACTTTGTCTGTGTGCTATGCTAAACGTGTTTGAATGAAATATACAATTGTAGAATACTAATTACTGATTACAGAAAAAATCTTCGTATTTAAATTAGTGCTTAAGACTTACTAGATTTATTAAAAAAAAAAAAAATCGCCAAAGTTACAAACAGTCAAGTCTTAGTTGTTAATTTAAGTAAACATTATATAAAACACTTTTCAACGGTTTAACGCGTGAATGTATTATACACGTGGCGTAAAAACATTGAAATCGTGGATAAAATATTAATAATTAATTAAATAATTTAGTTGCGTTTCATGACATATAAATGATGTACAATTAATTTGCATTCAAATTGTATACACGATCGACATCAAAGTTAAAAATGTAAAAATTACTGTAGGATTTTGTTTCATTTATTTCAAAACAAACATACAAAAAAAATAGATTTATGTGGAAGGACAACTAGCTCTTGTTGAACATGGAACTGAGCAGAACATCGTATTCAGTGATTCCCCAATAATCTTGTCACTCTTTCTACGTAATCTCAGTTTTACAGACAAACGGTTTCTATTGCTTTACAGTATCCTTCGCTATTTGTATGTTTAAAAATGATCAGATCGCTTCGATAGTGGGCGGGTTATCGTTTCATCTGGCCCTTACGGCTCGAGGGTATCTCTATATTTACACGTTGTCTGAATATTTAGATTTATTCATATTAACTCCTTATATAGAAATCATTGGTATTTTAATATCTTAACGTGTGTTAGCTGAATAACGCCATCAATCCCATGTTCACTTGAATATTCATCATTGTACCATTCAATCACCAAAAATGTTTTAATTCTTGTGACGAGTGTAACAGTTAGGTAAATAAGTTAACAATACTTATAAAAGAGTTATTACATTTTTTTTATATAGTAGAGGACGACAGAGACATGAGGTCACTTGATGGAAGGTTAAATATTCCAGACGAGATGCTTTATCATGACAAGATGCAGTGTCAACTTATTTTGTAACCAAAACTGAATAAAATATATACTAATATATATATCTTAAGCTTTAAACCGTCAAAGAAACAAAAAGTACTTTATTGTCACCAGAAACATTTTTATATTATATAACTAAGATTCAATTTGATGAAATAAAATGTAGCCAGGAATTTATCGCTACAAAGTGATTTCTTCCAGGCAACCAAAGATGGAGATTTTAAAATAATAATCGATAATAATGATAACACTAAAATTCAAACGTGATTTTTAAATATGCACCACAATTAAGTAGACCTATTTAAAAGACTGACAGGATTTCGTCCAAATGGGGGGCCATTTGAAATTCACTGTCACGTCAGATTCATTCGAGAATTGGCGAGGGCGGTGGAAATTTGAAAAGACATCGGAATGCACAGCGGGCTAACTTAAGACCTCACACTAAATGGCGGGTTGTTCGTGAAACGCGACAGAACGATCGCGTGAACGAAATAATTGGCTTTAATCAAGGGAGATGGCCGCTCGGGGCCTGGTTCCATTGAAACTATTAGCGGACTTTATTGCTCGAATAGCTCCATCTATAATCTATACCAATATATAAAGCTGAAGAGCTAGTTTGTGTGTTTGTACGCGCTAATCTCAGGAACTACTGGTTCGAATTGAATTTTTTTTTTGTGTTGGTTAGAGACCATTTATCAAGTAAGGTTAATAGGAGCGAAGAAACAGCGGGAAGTGAAAAAAGTGGGGAACATTATTTATCTCTGTCGTTTTCTGCTTCGTTGCGAAAACGGTTCAAGATACACTAAAAATGTGTATGAAAGAATGATTCGTCTTTAAATGATCTAAAAAAATGTCCGCGACAGTATATGTCTATCTGTTAAGATTAAGTCGCAAAAACGACGGGACGCGGACGGTGTCGTGGGTAACAGCTATAATGTATAAAATTAAGGAGTTTGTTTGCACAAATAAATAATAGAATGCCCAAAATTACTATTACATACAAAGCGGGCACAATAGATGTACTAGCGTCGTTGTCTAGTAGTTTGTGAGGTAGGGATTTCGATCTCCGGTCGTACATTCTGATGACACTCTTCTGCGAAGGATATCGAACGACACGTCATAAAAAGTGTCATCAATGATTTTGGGTTTTTAGTAAATAGGAAATTATTTCAACGAGTGCCTAGTAAAAAAGGATAAGCAGTTCAAATACACAACTTTATCTTTGTATTTGTGTACACAGTATGTTTGCATGACATAAAAAACAGAAATAGTGAAAGATAGCTGCATTTTAAAGATATGCTATTTTAATTTATATTATTATCATTATTATTAAATCTACCTTATCGTTATTAAACTTCGTCCGATAAAAAAAGTATTGGTTTCAATTTTATAATAGAGAAGGACAGGCAAGACACTCGATGGAAGGTTAAATAACCCAGCCATATAACATCTAATGCGCCGTCGACCTATTTCGGATTTAGATATAGGGAAATCAAACAGACTGGAACCGAAACGCGATTATACTTGACGGATTTTTCATTTGTAGTAATTTATATTATTAATTTTTTTTCGATTTTTAAACTATTTCATTTTGATTCGATCGTGTAGCAACGCTATCGTCCCCCCTTGTAATGCATTACTCACGTCCCAGCAGTGGGATTGGGCAACTATGGACAACGAAATCTAGGAGATCCTAATAATTGTAATCTATACTTGGACGATTGCATGTCATAAGTTTTACTATTTGTTAGCGTAATAAAAGACTCCTTTTACAGCATGAATAAGTACTCATTCATGTATTATTTACGGCTCGCTTCTCTGCAGCTCTTTGTGGTTTAAACATAAATTGAGTTATTTATGAAAAGATAATGAGACGGCCTTTGTGTTGGGAACAAAGTGTCGTCGCCGTTTATGAGATTGTAAGATTTCATGTCTGGTAATTGCTTGTTGCGTCACGGTCGGTAATATCCTCAGAAATCTCTCTGAGGAAATGGAAAACCAGTGAGAGCTCTTATCTACCCATAAGAGCCTGGTAGGGTGATTTGGGATGCGAGTACTGTCATCAACTTGCATTTGGTACAGTCGGAAAAGAAAAGGGGAGGGAAGATTTAAAAATAACGATTCACAATTCATCGTCAGTTTAATTATACTGGAAAGCATCGATCAATTATAATCAGTACGCATTGTTAAGGACATTGCGCAAGAAATTACTTGGCGTACTAAAAACATTGAAAAAAATATACGACGTTACCTAGAAGTTTAATAAGTAAGCTGTTGGACGTGTGTTCGAGCCTCGCCCGGGCGCAAAAATTTTAAATGTAATTTTTTTTTAGTTACAATCAATCAACATCGGATGAGATTCATTATTTCAGACTATATTTTATATACATAGTTTTCATTCTTATGTATATAATTCACCGTATTTGAGTTCGATTATCGTTAGTATTGTTTAATTTCGAGTCTATATATCTTTCAAAAAACTAGCAGATCAATCAAAAAACAAAGATATGCTAAGAATAAAACAACTAATGCCATGTCCCTTATCGGAATCGCAAAATTCATTGAATATGCAAAGTAACCTTCAAAATGACTCAATCCTTCTTAGAAGCCGCATAATTGTCAAAACGTCCAGGTAGTTTTAAAAAGCAAAAAATCCGATAGCATGATTCACGAGACGTACAAATAGGCACTACATTGTTCTATCTATTAGGTTTTAAAGACATTAGCCGTTGTCAACGAAAGCAATTACACAAAATAAATCTCAAACGAGTATTTGATGCTCGTGGGTCGTGATTAAATGGAGCCCCATTACATTAGCATAGCGTTTAGTTGGAGAACGAGTCTCGGTATTGAGCGCCGAGCGCGATGCGCCGCGGGCTCACGGCAAAATGCCAGTGGGCGGCGATGTGATCCCGCGACCCCTCGATAAATATTCCATCTAATACATCGCATGCCTCCCGCCAATAAAACATTTCAATGTCGCGATCGACGCCTAACGAAAGTCTTTGAACGCAAATTAAAATTAATCCAACCGGAAAAACAGAAGGATATGAAAACTCAAACAAAAGGTACAAAAGAAAAATTTTCAAAGTGGAATCGGACGGAAATGAGCGAAAAAAAGGTTCGCAAGAGCACTCTCGGTCGGGCCGCGACCCGCGTCTGGT